GAGAGGTTGAAAATCTGTGGCAGTCGCCACCTTTCACAGACAGGAGAGTAGCTTCTGAGCAGCACTGTCTCTTCATTTCAAATGAGGAAGGGGCTTGAAAGTATGAGGGACAGAGATGCATTGTAACTGAGATTGCTGTGTGTGGGGACTCTGAGAGCTTCAGAATCCTGGACCTGACCACAGGTTGGCATGGAGTGTACCCTGAGTAACTTGAACTTGCAGCTGAGGTTTTGGGAACCATTGCCTTGTAGGAAAGACCTTGGTTTTCAGGATGAATCTGTTCAGATGCCTTTGTGCCCATCCCTTGCTGTTTGTTTGTTTGAGGCAGCATCTCAGTGTGTAGCCTTGGCTGGTCTGGACTCACTGTGCAGCCTTGGCTGGCCTCTCATAAGATGCCCTTGCCTCTTGTCTCCCAAGTGCTGGGATTAAGGGTGTGTGCCACCCACCATGCCTGGTTAAATTTGGTGCCTCTGATCAAACACATTAATACTTTTAATACTTACTGTTAGATTATTTGCTTATTAGCTCACATATTCTAGGTACAAATGTTTCTGGAATTGTTTGGCCACTTAAAAGTTGAGTGTGCTTTCATCACCGTAGCAAAGTGTTGAACCTGCCTAAACCTTGGCTTGTTTGTTCATCCTTAAAAACTGGTTGTGAGGATTCGTGCCTTAGGTTGATGCGTAAAATAAACGAGGCAATGAAAAGCATTCTGTCACAAGGAGCTAATTGCAAATAGAGCAGACCCGACTACAGATGATAAAAGTCAGTGTGTACTCTCTCCTCAGGTGCCTATCCGTGTATTTCTGGATTTATCTTCATTACCATGTATCCCTTTAAGCCAGCCAGTGGAACTCTTAAGATTAGATCTGATGACTCCGTATTTGAACACTTCCAGTAGAGAAGTAAAGGTAAGGACAACCACAAACGACCACACTTGTCACTTTCAGAACAGTTTACCTTAAGTGAGGGACACCATATTTACATGGTCTGTCATTTCCTTTGAAGATTTCAATCTTCTTTTCTAGACAACATGCAAAAATAGATTGAATAAATATTAGTGTCTAAGATTTAGTTATTAAGTTTGAATGGGTGGTTCAGTATATTTTTAGTTTTTGCATTCACATTGATTAAAAAGAGAAAGAAGAATTACTTGCCTTGATGAAATGTTCAAAATTCAATTTCCATAGGTCCGCATTTGTAGATCTGGACGAGTGACTGCTGTCCCATTTTGGTTTCATTTGTGCCTTGATGATGAAGTCAGGTTGGACACCTCAGGCGAAGCCTCCCACTGGAAACAAGCTGCCGTGGTCCTGAATAACCCCATCCGGGTGCAAGTGGGGGAGGAGCTTGTGCTCAGTGTTGAGCATCACAAAAGCAATGTCAGCATCACAGTGAAGCAGTGAGCGAGACTCTAATCGTAAAACGAGTGTGTAAAATCCTTGTCATGGTCAAGAATGGTTAAGGGTGGCTTAAGTAACCATGGTTAATAAAGCACATGGTGACAGCCTTAAAGTGTAGCCTTGTTCTTGTTCTCTAGAAAAGGGTATGTCAAAAAAAAAAAAAAAAAAAAAAAAAGGAAAAGGGTATGTCTTCTGTTTCTTTATACCAGGAAGCCATTTTGTTGGACTTTGTAGGGATTTAAAAGGTGTCTGCCTCATTGTCATTCCAGTTAAGCAGATTTTTAAGGTTTTGAGATCTTGGCTTATAATAACTGGGCAACATCTAAAAGTAGGCTTCTACTGAAGACTGGGGTGGTTGTGAACCAGAGCTTTCTTCTGAAAGAGTGAAGGGCTTAGGAGGAAGTGTCCTCAGGAGGTGTTTTTTCCTTCTGTACTTGGGCAAAAAGAAAACTAAACACTTATAGCAAAAAAAAAAAAAACAAAAACTTAAAAATCCTACAGCAGGGTCTGGAGGGGTGGCTCAGCAGTTAGAGCACTGACTGCTCTTTCAGAGGATCAGGGTTTCCACGTATGTGGCAGCTCACACCTGTTTGTGACTTCACTTCCAGGGGATCTGACACCCTCATGCAGATGTATGTGCAGTCAAAACACTAAAGATCATTAAAAGAAGTGCTAAAGCAAAATTTTTCTAAATTTTGATTTGAAGGTCTTGTTGCAAAACTTTGTAATATCATGGGATTTCCCCTCTCCCCCTGCTTTTTGTTCTTTTTTTTTTCCATCCTGAGACAGGGTTTCTCTGTAGCTTTGGAGCCTGTCCTGGAATTCACTCTGTAGACCAGGCTGGCCTCAAACTCAGAGATTCACCTTCCTCTGCCTCCCGAGCTGGAATTAAAGGCGTTCATTATAACAATAAGTTTCTCTGGTCCCGCCCAGCCCAGGTAATAGGTAAACAGCGCTGGTGGTGGCATTGGTTACCAGCGAAAAAGTCACGAGCCACGACAACCATGACTACCAGAGTTACAGAGAGCTTTATTAGCAGGGAAAGGGGGGTTAGAGAGAGGGGAGTCAGGCCTGGGGGAGGAAGAGATGGCGGGAGCAGAGCAGAGAGCAAGTTACAGAGAAAGCGCATGGGGTCTGCATCTGGCTTCTTAAGGCGGGTACATAGTCACCAGTGTCCCCTGATGACATAAGACGCAAGACTCCGAGCTGCACATGTACAGGATCTTAACATTTTAGACTCTTTGCTTATTATAAAAAGCGAGTGAATAGGAATAGAGGCATTGTTTCTTTCAGAAAAAACTGCTTCCAGCTGACTTGGTGGGTGTTGGTTGGCTCTTAGGGAGGATAGGGAAGGGAGCCTTTTGAGACAGACAGGCGTCCTGGGGTGGTGGGCTGTCCTGCTGCTCTGGAGCCGTCCTTCCCTCTTGGCTTGGCACCCCAGCTACTTTTGTGTCTGACAGGATGCTGGTGAGACAGAGAAAGCCTGAAGTAGATCTGACCTGTCCAGATGGATTTAAGATGGTTTCTGGAGCTTGGGAAAAATTTTGAACATGTTAAGAAGCAGCCACGAGAAAATTAGTGACCATTGTACTCTGCTTATATTGGTTAGTGTTAATGAGAGACAGAGAGATTGGAACATGTTAAGCTTTATCAGAGACATTATTTTAAGGCACCTGTTTTCTTTACTAGTTTAGCATCCAGGAGACACAGGTGATCAATTGTTAGAGCATTTAACAGTAATAAATGGTTATATTAAAGTCTGTTTTTGCAGGGTCCAGACACTTTTGTGTCTGCGGGTATAAATACCTTTTAGCTGTTACAGTTTCTTACTTGATGATCTCTGGACTCCAGTTCTGTGGTGGTCCTGTACCATTAGCTGAGCCATTAATTAGAAGAGGGAACTGAGAAGAGAAAGGCTTGTGAAGTGAGAACTCATTTTTTGGAATTAGGGACAAGGCAGAGAGCAGGGCCCTGTCTGTGTCCCTGTGCATGAGGAGGAGAAGCGCTTCTGACAGTCTGGAGTGAGGCACATGGAGGGAGCAGTGAAATGAGAGCTCCTGTCTTAGCTGGAAAATCTTCTCCCATTAAGTAACCCTGAAAGTGCAATTAAATCTGGTAGGCGGGGTAAGGCTGTCCTCCCTACCCCGACAATAGGGAAATGAGGAGAGGAGGCCCTATAACTCCCAGGACTGGGTTAGTGGCTCTAACTGGTATCCCGAAGGAAGGAAACAGATTGCTACCATGCTGTGTTCTGGGTTCCCTGCGAACGAGCCTATGGCCAAGCCTAGGTCTGCTGGAGGTCTTTGTCTGTCCCCCTGCCTCTTTGGTGCCTGGGTCCAGTCAGCTGACCGGTTGTCTTTCTAGGTGGCACTCTGAACAAGGCTCAGTTGATGGCCTGGCAGGACACGCACTAGCCCACGTGGCCTTCCCCC